AACATGAACCTATCATTCTTTATCCACTCAAGCATAAAAGTGAGTCCATGGCTCCAAGTTCAGTGCCAGTAATATATGGTTTTTAACAGAGGGAGGTTTTTGTCTTGCAGTAATACCATATTATGCAGTGTGTAAATCACACTGATTCTCAGCCTGCAGTCAGTAAGTGGAGCTATTGTTAAACAGAAAAAACTAATTGCCTCTCAAATACATACAGCAAAAAAGTGACTTCTTACAAAGCTGAAGCTACTGTTACTGAAACTTCTGCACAATCTGAGCACACAATAACACTGATGATGTTTGAGCTTTTATATTTTTATTGTCAACGGTTATTCCAAATATTTAATATGTAATTACTTCAAATATTCATTATTGAAAAACAATTCACTTCCTTCAATAATTAAAAAAAAAATGCAGAGCCACTACATAATCTTTTGCCTTCGATATGCCTGCCCTGTAATGCTGCCTTTTTCCATTTTTAGCCTTGTTATGAACATTACACAATCATAAATTGCACAGTACTCTCTCTAGAATGCTTCGTAATTCTGGATAACAAATTCTTACACATGTGAGCTATGTGAAGGAATTTTGTTTTGCTTTGTGACCTACAATGCCTTTGACTGCTGCTTTCAAACTGTAGTCCTTATTTTCAGCTAAGTTCCACGGTCTGAACAGTTTCTCAGATCCACAGGGCCTCCTGTCACTAAACAACTGTAAAATGTTTATAAACGTTTAGGAAATTCTCAGACAAAAAACTTTGTTAATACTACATGCTTTAGCAGTATGATGATTCAAAATTAATCAACCAAAAAAGAAGATGGAAATATTTGGGACATGTGTTAAGAATAAGGCCAGAGCATCTGCAGGTGTGCCACTGGCATCTGGAGGAACACCCAAAAGGGCCAGTCAAAAGAATCCCTCTGTCAAATGCTAGAGAGAGGGGGAAAACTTATGTGACTTAATAGAGAACATGCAATGAGCAGATAGTGATGGCAGAGCTCTGTTTGTGCTGTAAGCAATATCTGATGGCATGAGACGGATTCAGATTGAGGCATACTGCCAGGCATTGTTGGGGCTGGTGGATTTTTTTCTTTAAATAGAGGATTTTTCACATTTTTGTGGAACGCTGTGATGGTACAGTACTTCACATGAAGTGAATCTCTCCGTCACGTGCAGATCTCTACACACAAGCACAACAGCAGTGACATAGCCCTTGCTTCTTAGTTCCTTCTCTTTTGAACTGAAGACAGAAGTTACCCCAGGTGTCCTGTAGATAGGCATATACTACAAAGTGTAATGTTTAATTCTCTGTGGAATCTTTTATGGTGACTGACAGGATTGCTTTGTTTTAACAAGGACAGTAGGCTAATGAGCATCTTGGGTGTGAACTTCAGGAGATTACATATATATTAATTTAGACCAAGGAACAGTAGATCCAACATATGTACAAACTGCAAATTATTAGCTACGACCCTGATCGTGACAGCCCAAAATTACCTGGAGCACATTTTTATGTACAAAACATTGCACATTCTCCTCTTCTCTCGTAATTCATGCAATCAGATCCAAAGCAAAAAACAAAGATACATCTCAAATATATCTTGATACTACAATGGTTCTTTTTACATAGTTTTTGTGATACATGCTAGATGGCACATTGAAATTTCTCTTTTGCTAAAGTCACAATCACAATCAGGTAATAAAAGGGCACTTTTACAGTATGATGCAGCATGCACACACATTACAAAATGACTTTCCTTTTTTATGAAAGAGCTCTATTAATACACAGTGGATTCATTTTGCCAACAGTGTTAGAATTATAGAAGGAAAGAATGTCCACCAGGATTCATGCAATTCAGTAAATCCCAAAAATTCTGGTAACAGACTTTACATTTTAAAGTCTGATGAAATGCCTGATTGTTTCCCTCTATTCTGCGTATAGTACTTTACTGTTAACAAAGTTTATTGCATTTCTCATTTATTTGAGTCCTAATAGAAATTCACTGTTTCTACAAATGTAATCTGAAACTATGCTCTGGAATATGGCTTTAGTGGTTTAACATAGCACATCCACACCATGATTTAAGGGCCATGTTTTGCCAGTTTAACCTTTAACACTGAAACATCCTGTTCTCCCACTGATGGTTGGATGATTTACACGCAAAACAATTATTATTATTGGGAGTTATATCAATTCTCTACAGAAACAGAGGAAACAGAATCTTCAGAGTTTTCTTGGCAACACATGATCAGCAGGAGGACTTAACACACAATGAAAATTAACTGGGACTCATCTAATTGTATAGAACTAATTATGCTTTGTGGTGTGCTTGGGAAAAGAGTGAGCAGTGGGAGGGGAGAAGAAGATGGGGAGCTGGTACTCCTGTCATGCCACAAAGCAGGGAGGGCTGAAAGCAGTGGGAGGAAGGGAGGGTGCATGGAAGTTTAGGACTAGAGGGAATATAGGAAGGTCTGTACAGTGGAAGGAAGAGGGAGGGAGGGAGGGAGCCAGGAATAGGAGTTCCTGGGAACTGGTAGTGGGTGGGAGGGAGGGCCTGGGCGAGTGGGAGACTGGGAATGGGGAAAAGTGGGTGGAGGGCCCAGCATTGGTGCTGTAGGTTGGGGAGGAGATCCAGGTTACCTGGGAGTGGGGGATATTGGGAGGGAAAAGGTTGGAGAGTGTAGGGAGGGTCCGATGGTATGGGAAGGGAAGGTTCCAGGAAGGCAGAGATTTGGGGCACACCACTGAGACTACTTTTGCCAAAGTCTCCAGTGATCTCTCCCTAGCGAAAGTTCAGAACCTACTCCATCCTCTTCCTCCTCGACGCCACTGACTGTGTGTTCTTGAAATCTTGTCTTCCCTTGTCCTCTCCTGGTTCTCCTCTTACCTCTCTAATCATTCCTTCAGCATGTCCCTAGGAGGATCCTTCTCGACACCCCACTCCAACTTTCTCTGGGGGTTCCACAGGGCTGTGTCCTCGGCCCCCTTATCCCTGAGCAATCTCATCCACAAACCAATGCAACTACCTCCCTGTGTGGATGATTCACAGCTGTACCACGTCACTCCAGAATTATTTCCTACCGACCGGGCTAAAATCTCAGCCTGTCTCTCTGCCATTTCCTCGTCGATATTTCCCCCAAGCCTTCTACCCTACCTCCTTTTTCCATCATTGTGGACAGCACCACAATCCTGCCTGTTTCTCAGGCCCATCAGCTGAGCATCGGCCTGAACATTGACCTCTCTCTAGGTCCTCACATCCAGGCTATGATTACATCTTGCATTTTCTTTCTGTATAACATGGCTAAAGCACAGCCTTTCCTAGCCATCCACGCAGCTAAACGCTCCTGTCTCAATTACTGCAACCTTGTTTTCTCTGGCCTTGGCAAATGCAATGCCCTGCTCGCTATCTATTCAGAATGCTGCTGAAGCGGTAAACAACCACAAAGCTACTTCATTATCCTCAAACATGACCTATGAGGAAAGGATGAAAGAAATTGGCATGTTTAGTCTTGAGAAAAGAAGACTGAAGGTGGGGGATGATCACAGTCTTCAAATATGTTAAGGGCGATTAGAAAGAGGTCGCTGACCAATTGTTCTCCGTGTTCACTGAAGGCGGGACAAGGAGTAGTGGCTTAATCTGCAGCAAGGGAGATTTAGCTTAGATAGTAGGAAAAACTTTCTAACTATAAACATAGTTAAGCTCTGGAACAGGGTTCCACCGGAGGTTGTGGAATCCTCATCACTGGAGGTTTTTAAGAACAGGTTGGACAAACACTGACCAGGGCTGCTCTAGGTTTACTTGGTCCTGCCTCAGTGTTGGGGATGGACTAGATGACCTCTCAAGGCCCCTTCCAACCCTGCATTTCTATGATTACTGTGAACTTTTCCAAAACAAGCAGACCACAGGATATTGCCAAACTAGAACAGACTACGATCTATCTAGACATCTGACAGTGATCTATACCGAATGCCTCAAAAAAAGCCAAAATGCCTCAGTAACACTCCTGGCCAATATCCCGCCACACACATTTACGTCTGCCCAAGAACTGACAATGCTACCAATGATGCGTGGACGGGTGCAGGGGTACCACCATATGAAGGCTGTTTCCATTGTTTCCATTATTTGGGGATTAATCCTTTGAGAAATGTTTGCTCTTAAGCCTAACCCTTGTAAAGGGCATTAATATACCACATGAATGGGAGTTTCATAAATGCTTGTAACAATCACTACGTGAAAGAATTATCTTTGAAATAAATTCGCACTTAAAGTTAGCCTCATTACTTCAGAAAGTGATACCTCTTTCCCAGCCAGACGGAAAAGGAAACCTGGGTTATTACTAGATTAGGGGAAAGGGCCAATGAAAATGAAGCTGCTCCAAATATAAGAGTTTTGTCCACATTTTGACTCAAGAAAACAAATTTTGCTTTCACATATACAGTCATGGGTGTAAGAGGTCAGAATTACAACCAGGGACTTTAATTAACAATCCTACACCTTTATATTACTGGATAAACCTAAAAACCCTCACATAAAAGCTTTTTACTAAAGGATCACAAGGGGATCAATAACACGATGTTTTATCCTGTGTTCTGTGAACAGACCTATTTACAAGCCCTACAGAAACTCACGTTACACTTCAGCATAGCATAAAGCAAGATTTTTAAAAATCCCTTTATATTTTAAAATGGCATTTTCTCTTTTGCATTCTCTTCCTTAGTAACCATCGGCACTTTGTTTCAGTTCATAAGAATATCTTAGTCTACAGATTGAGATTTTACATTAACATTTCGGGGAACCCCCTTCTTTATACGATCTCTATGGGAAAACTCCAGAAGAGCAACAGTCTATATTTGAAAAGTCGTGTATTCTAGACTCTGCCTAACTGCAGCATTTGAAACCCCAGAAAGAAACACGCATGATTCTATTTCTAACCTTGGAGTAAAGCTCTCACACAAACACTCATTATGACAGACAAATGAAATACACCCAATTACTTACTGTCAGTTCATATGTTCCTGATAGCTCTCTGAAATCTGAAATCCACCTTTAATACAAGGAAAAAGCTAAGTCATAAAGAAGCTCCAGAGTTTAAACTGTTTATGCTGCAGCGACAAATGCTCCTCCCCGAAAACCCAGATGTCTGATTCATGTTAATATTTCAAATTAAAAGACCTTGCCATGCCCAGCATATATAGGAGAGAGAGAGACACACACACACACCCCCCAGAGGGAGAGGAAGAGAATGTTTGCATACGCAAGAATATGTACATTTAGTTTAAATATGGACAGATGGCTACGAAATAACATTCTTTCAAGCCTGATGCTTTAAAACATTCTTTTGGACACCTGTTTTGTGTTGGTTTTCCACTAGTAGCCTAGTAGGAAAACTGCAGCTCCTGATCCCGTATGGTTAGGTTTTCAATGTCACTTTACAGCATACCCTAGCCCACTCTCCCACTACAAATGCTAAATCCAGATATTAAGGAATTAAGGGTCAAATTTTGAAGAGGGCAGAAGCATGCAGTCACGCACATAAATACACATGCAATGATGTATCCTGGGCCTTTTCATTGACTCCACTGGATTTGGATCATGGTTCCAATATGCATGCACAATTACTGTGGATAAATCAGACAACTGCGTATGCAAATGACAATTTAGACACCGAGCAAGAGAGCTACAAATACCTGATTCACACACACACCAGCAGTACGTGGACACACAATTGCACAGGCGTTACTGCATGTGGTTCTGAACTTCTACCCTTTAGAAAATCAGGCCCCAATTCAAAAACTTCTGTTGTTCCTAGATACTTTAATGTAAGACTTTACTGGATTTCTCAGAAAGAATCAGATGCAAATATCATTGACAAGAACTACAGAACTGGTCTTTTACTGCTAAAATTAATGGTAAAATATTTGCATTTCAAGACAATATTATAAGATGTGAAGAAGTTACAATTTTTGTTCTGACTCATATCAGTGGTAAAGCACATGGCTATTCCGGCAGGTAAATTTTAAATCTGAATGCACTGTTAAACACACACTAGATACATGATTCACTTTAATTTAAAAAACCAAAGCTTATCTAAAAAAATCAAAATGTCGGACATATAAAATCTAGGTGCTTGTCATTAATTTACTAACCCCATTTTTGTAACGTGCTTTGAATTGCATTGTGAATATTAAGTAGTATTTTTGTTTTGGGAACAAATTGTGCAGTGCCTATAAAGGACTAATCAACCGGGGGAAATTTTTAAAATGTGAAAGGTGCAAGTCAAGGAGCATACTTTTATTTTAGGCAATTCAAGTTTTATTATGTCTATAATCACAGTCACCCTGAAGAAGCAAGGACTATAATTATGAATATTTGATATCAGGTCATTGCTATTACAGTACTATTAATGTACAGCTGCTTTCAAAGTTTTGACATGTATGTATTTAGTGCAAACTGTAACATTCACACATATTTGCACAGTACAACTAAAACAGGACCCTTCCTCTCACATCACAGATAACAAGAAGTGACTTCATTGAAGTCAGTGAGTTACACCTGTGTGAAACAGCGTAAATAAAGGCAGATCAGGACCAATGTATTAATAATTTGCAACATGTTAAAATATTTTAATATCCAAATGATTTTTATGTATCTGTTATATGAGAAAAATCTCTAAAGACAACCTTTAAAAAATCCTTAATTTCTTCTCATCACTTATTGAGATTTTTGTTTTTTTATGAAGTGTCTTTCGATGGTTCCCCCTCAGATTCAGCATACAATAGTTACTCTCCTAGACTCTTATTTTAAAAAGATTTTAAAAAGCCACCATCTCTCCTTGGAAGGAATCCCAATAAGTAACTGCTAACTCATTCCTGTCTCAGCTGCTGCTCTCTAACTGCCACTGATTTTTAACCAACTCCGTGAGAAAAAACAAAAATAAAAAGGCAGATTCTAGAAAATGATATCAAAGATAGTGCGGCTATTAATTGCAGAAACCCCTTGTGACACTGGAGCATAGTTAGATTTCTTGAAAGCAAGCCAGGGAAATACCATATTGCTTAACTGAAATGCCTCTGAAATCAAAGGCTTTGTAACTTGAAAAACAAGGGCTTCTGAATGAGTAGAGGAAAAGTTCTGAGTGTAAAAGGATAAAGCAGTCACTAGAGTGGGCACTCTAGGAATAACCAGCTGAATCAAGTGAATGCCAAAGTGACACCATTATAAAAAGCAAAAAAAGACTGTAAAGTCTATTTTTAAAAGTATGGGTAGTGTTGACAAACTGTGTAAGTGATATTTTGTTTACTCCGGTACGAGATGACCACAACAGTTTTATTTAGCACAATTTCAGCTGTCACGGGGAAACATCACACGTTTTGTGGATTTATTTTTCTGGGGCCACAGCCTCAGCTGGGGTAAATCTGCAGAGCTCCAAACAACGGTGTTAAGCCAATTTGCAATAGCCGAGGATTTGGCTCTTTGTTTTTAATAGCTGGAAGTGTTTTGCTCCCTGTTTCATAATAGCTAAGCTTTACGACAGTGCACTGGCAACAGACCTCTTGCTTTGTTTACATGACTGAACAAACATTTGACGTAGCACACTTATAAATAATATATGCTTTCTAGGAATATTTCCATAACATCCTTATTTATAGGACTAATAAATATCCTCTCACATAAAAATATTTAGTTAGTATAACTGTTTTTAGCAAAATCTCTTGGGAAATCTGTTGTTGGAAATCCACAAAGACAAAATTGTGCAAAACCAAAACCAAGCAATCCAAGACGATACCTACTCCAACACACATAAATAGGTGCCTATATAAAGTGACAACTAAGTGGTGCCCACAGTGGTTTCTCAATACTGTTGCTCTTGAAACTAAAAGTTGCTGAACTCTAGTGTACTCCAGAACACAACACAATCCATTTAAGCTCATTTTAAATTTAGCTGTTTTAACAACGTTCATTTTATGCCAATTTTTGGGTCCAAATTAAGGCCTGTTTTGAGAGTCCTTACCTCTCAGGGGAAGGATGAAAGGAAAATCTGATCTTTAAAACTTCTTGCCTTATAAGGAAAGCTGCACCATTCTGCTCAGCTGTCTGATGGGTTCACATGTTGAGAAGCACGTCTTGTGTATAAGCCGGGACACCTATGTAAAAGATTTAATTTAAAATAGGTTTTACTGAGGAGCCTGGATAGCTCAGGAGATTCGTAATGTATAGAATCTCTCTTTCCTCCTCAATTCCAGATTTTAATCCAGGACAGGCTAGTCATGCCAAAAATTGTTGCCATCTAATGGCTGTTTTGTGGCTTGTGTGAAATCAGTTTGATGTTCTCAGGCCAGCTGCTAATGGGACAAACGTCCACATTTGTCACCACCACTAACTGGCCTTCTTGTTGGCAGCCTCAACAGAGAGACGGAGGCCTAAATGGGCAAGAAGCCTAAACACCCTCTCACTGCTAGCGGTGGATGGCCCCTCCCGTGCAGAGCTGAGGTGCATTGGTAGAGAAGCATGATGAAGTTGGCATGGCGACTGTCAAAGCTCCACTTGTTCTGTGGAGAAATGGAGGATTTGAATCCAACAGCTGTCAATCTGGTGTTCTGCATCAGCACTAAATTCACAAGAAATTATTACTATTGTTTTTTTAAAGTTATTTCTCACCCTACTAGAGGGGCAGTCATCCTAATGGCAAGTAACATCAAATGGCATGGAAACTCATTGTAAGACCAGGGAATAATATAAATCCTGCATTAATAATGGTTTAATTCGACATTGGTGAGGCTTCATCTGGAGTACTGTGTCCAGTTTTGGGCCCCACACTACAAGAAGGATGTGGATAAATTGGAGAGTCCAGCGAAGGGCAACAAAAATGATTAGGGGTCTGGAACACATGAGTTATGAGGAGAGGCTGAGGGAACTGGGATTGTTTAGTCTGCAGAAGAGAAGAATGAGGGGGGATTTGATAGCTGCTTTCAACTACCTGAAAGGGGGTTCCAAAGAGGATGGCTCTAGACTGTTCTCAATGGTAGCAGGTGACAGAACGAGGAGTAATGGTCTCAAGTTGCAGTGGGGGAGGTTTAGATTGGATATTAGGAAAAACTTTTTCACTAAGAGGGTGGTGAAACACTGGAATGCGTTACCTAGGGAGGTGGTAGAATCTCCTTCCTTAGAGGTTTTTAAGGTCAGGCTTGACAAAGCCCTGGCTGGGATGATTTAACTGGGAATTGGTCCTGCTTTGAGCAGGGGGTTGGACTAGATGACCTTCTGAGGTCCCTTCCAACCCTGATATTCTATGATTCTATTCTATGATTCTAACCTCAGTAGAATAAAAAAAACCCAACCCAACCTTTTAATATTAATACAGTACTTCCTGGAGCTATTTGAAACACAGGTTAAACCGGTTCTGGGATAAAATGGTGTAAAAGACTATACAAATGCTAAGCCACATTAAAATCAGTTTTAGAAATCATGGTCAAGATTGGGTAGCGACAGTCTCAAACACGGCTTTTAAAAATGGTTTTTAATATGTCTGATCTCTCCAAGCAACATTTCATAATAGCTGCAAGAGACAGTTTGGGATAGCGTTTAAATGTGTTCCCCACCTGTCCAATATAGTGCCTGGTAGCATACATAAATACATATATGGTCAATACTTTGCTCGACTAGTAAAGCATGAGAATGAATGGCCTTGAATCACACTGACGATACATGAAGATTTTAAGCACTTCTGTACTACCTGTTTACACCACAGATATGTAGTATTAGGGGGAAAAAAATCTAAAACCTGTCGAGCTCAAATCCACCGAAACATTGCATTAATGAACAGACCATACGAATGGATCCATTAGAAATTTGGTGGATTAGTGAAACTGACCTTAATGTAAGGAACCTGTTCCACTTGACTGTCAGAGAAATTTTGAACAGTTCATCTACTACAAAACTAAAACTTTCAGCAAATGTATACTGAACCATCTGTGATCTGAAGATCACGGAATTAGCTAATGATTCTCAACACTGGTCACTAGGTCAGTCTGAAGGGAAGGGGAAGAGTGCAGTGACTAAAAAAAAATGCAATGAATAGCAATTAGAAAACACCCTTCAGGGGAAAAATACTGTACACATATACTGATAACATTGAAACTACAGCTGAACTGAGTCATTAATATTCTATACCTACAACAGCATATTTGACGAACATAGAGTATAATTTAAATCATGATCAGTTTATCCAGTTTCCACGGGATTACAAGATCTAGGAAAACACTGAATTAAATCAATGACACATGCTCTTTCAAAAGTGAAAGTGTGGCTCAAAACAAATGTAACAAAATATGACATGTTTTTACCTTGTCTGTCTAAAATGCCTTTGATACGGTGAGCATCTGTCTCCTGGGTCTGTATTGCAATCACAGTCACTCGCCTGATGAAGCATCCCAAGGAGCATTAGACTACAGAAAGTTTTCAAATGTGTGCCAAACTGTTAATATCAGTAGATTAGGGGAACTCATTCATAGTTATTAACTACTACTGTAGATAAGACTAGACTGTAGTAACCTTTCCTGCGACAGGGTGTTATATAACAACATGCTTTTAATCCACTCTCAGGCAGAACAGTATGGAAGAACAAATCCTCCTGCTTTTATAAAGGTTTAAGGCTCTTCATTTTCTGTTTTCCTTCCCCATTTACTCTACATAAACTGAGCTGTTCCCGTAGATGGAATTACTTATGCATAACCTGGGAGACGGTTGTAAAATTTGCCCAGATAAACTGTATCTTCCTCTTCTACTAGTAACTTCTACAAAAAAACTGCAGCCATTATATTCACAGCTCAGACAAGGTTTCTCTCCTTCCTGTCACTATCCGCTGCCCTTTTGTTTGATCTCTTACTCCAGTTACACAATGGTATCTAAATATACTGCACAAGAATAACAGTCACATTAAAACATGTTGTATACGGAATAAACATTTTCTTACAAATACCACTTTTAAAAATAGATTCATAGAATCACAGGGTAAGAAGGGACCACAAGAGTCATCTAGTCTAACCCTTTGCCAAGACGTAGGAGTTGTTATGTCTAAACTATCCAAGATGGATGACTATAGTCAATGATCGGTTTCAGAGTAGCAGCCGTGTTAGCCTGTATTCGCAAAAAGAACAGGAGGACTTGTGGCACCTTAGAGACTAACAAATTTATTTGAGCATAAGCTTTCGTGAGCATCCGATGAAGTGAGCTGTAGCTCACGAAAGCTTATGCTCAAATAAATTTGTTAGTCTCTAAGATGCCAAAAGTCCTCCTGTTCTTTTTATAGTCAATGATTATTACTATAAAAATATTTGCAATAGTTAAAGGGAGCCTTTCACCAACACAAGAAAGACCAAGTTTTTCACATATGGACAGCGTTGATAGGCCATTTTGAAATTCACCCTGGTCTCACAGCTCTTCTGTAGCTGAAGTTTAGGAAATGTGATGGCAATTGATGATGGCAGCTGATGGACTGGACCAGTGGGCCAGGAGTTGAGAGATCTGGATTCTCCTTCTAACGCCACTGTTTGATTTGCTGTGTGTGCTGGGACAAATCATTTAACTCTTATGCCTTAGTTATCTTGTTTGTCAAATGGGGCTAATATTGCTTACCTATTTTTCTAAAGGGCTTTGAGTTCTATGAATGAGAAATGCAAAGCATCCTCAAATCAAAACATCCATCCAATCTGTCAGTCACATAATGTTGCCAGATCACTGCATACAAGAAAGATGACAAGACTGCAGGGAGAATGTACTGCACATATACCATTTCCCATGACAATGGCCACAAGAACAGATTTCCACTGTACCATTTCATGCTTTTTCCTAATCTATCATGGGAATTAGGCATAACTCTGCTACTTTTACACACACTGATCAGTACTTGACTCTGCAAGTAGCCCCACTGATTTCAGTGAGGCTATTCATGGAGTAAGATACTACACCCAACATTAAAATGGCAGAATCTGGCTCTGAAATTGTGGTCTCTCATTTTCTGAAAGATAATTAGAAACTGCATTATTGTTCCATTAAACTATTAATGGCAAATTCATATATGATGAAGAATAAATCTGACTCCATACCATGATTTAGCTACAGAGCAGTTACAATCCAGATGCAAGGTACATAATTGCTCTCCCACTTCTCCCTGTCCTGAAACAGTGCTTCTCTCCCCAGTCTTTATTTGTCTCTGTGACGATTTGGGGAATCTATGTATGATTTAGGAATTGTAGTTAATTTGATGTAATTGCTGTGTCATTGAATGCCTTAATGTCTAATGACTCAGCCATGTGTTGATGAGGTCCCTGACACATTATTACGTACCCTGTCTGGAAGGAGCTACTGAACAAACAAAAGAAATCGTAGGGAGCACGCTTGAGCTGGAAAACCATTTTGATCAGCTTTATCTGCAGGGTCAGAGAAATGGAGAGTGGAAAAATCCCCAAACAGGAGAACAAAGAGACAGAGGTGACAGAACATTGTTTTAAATAGACTATAAGGAAACTTGGGGCAAGAGAGGAACAAAGGGGCATGCTTTCATAGCAGAACACTCAAGAGCGGTGAGAAAACTCAACCTGAGAAACTGGGGTGTTTTATCATTTCATCTAGATAGCTATATTGCTTGTGCCATCTAAACTAAAGAATGATTAGTTTTGGAACCTTTTGCAAAGTTTCTGTGTTGTGTGTTTCAACTTTTCCTCAAGTGGTACGTTGTAACCCAGAATGTCCACAAGGTTGGAAGCTCAGGAAAGGATGTGTTTAAGCAATGCAGGTGTCTGGGGGTGGTGGTTTTGGGGGTCGGGGCAGCTGGTCCATGAGGTCCCAGTTCTGTGAAGGGGTAACAGTGTGTGCCCAGGGAGCATGCCAGAGAAGCTGGAGACAATACTGGAGCCTACCCAGCCCAAGGAAAGCTCATGGGCACATGGGTCTTGTATGGTGGGACCCAGAATTCAGCAGGGGGCGCTCAACTAGATCTGTGCCAGTGTGTCTGACTTTGTACCTTGTACAATTCAACCTTTTACTCTTGCAACAAACAGCCAACTAACCTTTACAACGCACCCTCTGTTAGAGTAGGATATGTCCATATCAAATTATTAAGTCTGGGTTGTATTAAGTGTGGAAATGTTACTTAGACCTATGACTGCAGATTCATCCAAAAACATTTAGCCTTCATCTCCCTCCCCTAAAGAAGAGAACTGTGGGACACTTTCCAGAAAAACACAACAATAATGTTAAAAGCAAGATGTATAAATAAAACAAATTTCACTAACCTAATTGCTGTGTCTGTCACACCTTTATTTCTTTTCCATGACTTTGCTCCTTCTCTTCTAATGTTTCACTGTATCTTTGCTTTCATGAAAAATTAACACACAAATAGGCTTGGAAGGATTAGATTTATCGTAAATGTCGATAAACATCGATTTCACTGTACCCACAAACCAGTGAAAAATATTTTCAGCGATAATAATCTAAATTTACTGATAAGCAAAGTAAAAAGAACAAAACCTGTTGCTTGAGAACATATTAGATTTTGATGCAAGGACAAAATTCTGACATGTGTTGTTAACACTTTGTGTTTTAACAGTTAGAAAAGCTTTAAAATGTCAAAATGATAAAAAATAAAATAAAAATGGAATTCTGCCAAGCCTACTTATAAATAATAATTAATCTCCTGTTGTATACTCGTCTCTTTTTTTTAATCTTGCCCCTTCCTCTACCCATCTTTCCCTTTTTACCTCTCCTTTGCCCCTTCTCTTTCAAACCAACACAAAAGGTAGCTCACTTTGCCCCAGGTTACAGATCTCGGTTTTGCCCCAAGTCATTCCCAAATAATAGAAGATTAGGGTTGGACTTAGGAGAGACCTCAGGAGGTCATTTAGTCCAACCCCCTGCTCAAAACAGGACCAACCCCAACTAAATCATCCCAGCCACAAACCGTCCTAAAACAAAACACAGCCTTGATAAAACAACAGAGAAAGGCGTGAAGGTACAATTGGACATTATATGTCAAAATGGCATAATATTAATTCATTTTGAGCTTTTACTTGTAACTTAGGATAGTCCATTTAAACTGAAGTATGTCATTCCACTCGGGCAAAAAGGAGCTCAGAGACCATAGTAATGGGCACATTATAAATTTAATCAGATTAGACAGATGACAGCCTACTTCACAAGCATATTCTGACAAGTTTTATTTGGAAGAGAGCAACAAAATGGGAACAGATTTCCAAATGAAATGAATTATTGGTAGCAGAGGAATACCAAGATCCAAGTTAGCCTGTTCTGGAGTTGGTTTTATCTGCCACCTTGTGTTCATTATAGGAACAGTTAAGCTTTATTCATTAGGTTTTGCTTTGCAATAAACTGTTTTGCAATTGTGAAATAAAGCATTAAGCAGAAAGAGGAAGTTCCAGAACATGTCCAATGTGTAAGTTATTTACTTAAAAAAAAAATCACAGAAGTCTCTTTTGAGAAAGTTCTGTTAAAATGGGATGTTATAATGCTACGTCCCGCCAAGGTAGGAGAAGAATGACGTTGGCACTCCCAGCTAGAGTAAAAAGCTGCTGTTGGATCATTTATTCCAAACCCTTATGTGCCACTTTAAAAAAGTATTCATAGGGACCTAACAGGGATTCCACTGAAATATGTCTACACTTGTTTCTATTACTTCCACATATTCCCTTGGCAGGTTATTCCACTGTCAAATTAATCTGGATAGTATAAAATGTTAGTTGGATTTACCTTGGACAAATTTAGCTCTCTTAATCCCCACAGCCAAGAACTAAACAACACTCTGGTACCTTAAGATGTACACCGATAAGTGATATTCACATGGGGTAAACCCAGACACTTTATACTAGAGATTAATTTGGTCCCATTCAATCCACTTATTCCCTCTGTGCCTAATTCTGTGCTGATTTACACCCCCTGTAAAACCAACTTAGAGAGGACACATCTGTCCAAGTCATTTGACTGACACGACAGCTATGTCTACACTACAGAGCTTATGCTGCTAGTGAGATGCTCTAAGCTGATGGCAGAGAACTCTCTCTCTCTCGTCTACTTAATTCCTCCAATCCCTGCGAGCGGCGGTAGCTATGTAGGAGGGATAGGTATAGCTATGCCAATGTAAGTTCCCAGTGTCCTTGCTAATGTGTGAAAACTACGAACAGCCTTGTCTTCACTAAGATTTTACCCTGTGTTAGCTTACACAAAAAAAGAAAACACCTTCCCGGGCCTGGTCTACACTTGACATTTTAATTGGTATATCAGTAACAGTCAAGGGTGTTAAAAACAAAAACAAAAAAACCCACCTCCTAGTGACATAGCTATGCTGATAAAACCCCCAGTGTAGACGCAGCTATATGGAGAGAAGGCGGCTTCTGTTGGCATAACGGACGTTGTTTGAAGTGGTGGTGTTCCTATCTCAGCAGAACGCCGCCTCCTATCGGTGCACATTGTGTACACACAATGTATTGTGTATATACTAGGAGGCTCAGCCAGCATAGCCAGGCCACTGTAGCCATGTCAGCACAGGCTATGTAGTGTAGACACAGCCTAGGGTGGTTGCACGTCCAGGTACAAAAACATGTTAACAATTATTAATAGTGGTCTTACAAATGCTTAACTACTATCTCAGAGACTGCCTTTCAGAGAGATTGTTGTCTAGTTGTATCAAGTTTTAGTCAGGCCTTTTGTTAAAACCCTCCAAACAATTTGATTTTCTTCAAGAAATATGGACAAGTCCCAAGACCCTCCATCGCAGGAGGGAATAACTTATACCAAGTCCATGTCACCTCCTACCAGCAATGGGTATGAGACCAAACAATTCATAGTCTCTTACCATTGCTAAGCTAGCCTCATCTTCAGCACGAGATATTATTCCAATTGCCTGACTTACTCAACAGTGCAACACACTGAGGAAAGATGGTCTCATGGTTAAGGCACTGAAATGGGACACGAGATCTAGATCTTGTTCCTGGCTCTGCCACAGACCATTTGTGCATGCTTGAGCAAGTTACTTAATCTCTCTTTCTCCTACCCTTTAAGGTCAGAAGGGACCAGCATGATCATCTAGTCTGACCTCCTGCACACTGCAGGCCACAGAGCCTCACCCACCTGTGTTGTCTATTTAGACTCTAAGATCTTCAGGATGGGGATGCTATCATAGAATATCAGGGTTGGAAGGGACCTAAGGAGGTCATCTAGTCCAACCCCCTATATGTTACGGCACTGGCTGAGTTCCCTCATTGTGGTCAGATACCAGGCTTGCTGTATTGCATCCAATCTTTGGATCCCACATATTTCCAGGCCTACTGGGTCTGATCAGCATCTAGACACTGCAGCTAAATCTGGCCCCTATAATCCCAGGGTGCTGAACCCTTGTGTAGCATCCCTTTCAGGATGTGGGGCCCCACAGGCCTAGACTCCGAGGCCAGTGTAGACCCCCTCCCCAAGGTCTGTCCAGTAGCTTAAACACACCCTGCCCACAGCTCCACTCGTGTGTATTCTGGTTTACAGTTTAACTCTTTGGGGACTATGACAGTTAAAGCAAGGAACACACAGGCTTTTTAAAGGAATTTCGTAATTGGACATACTTTACTCAGTCAAGCACAAGAATTACAGATCTGGTAGGGGGGTGGGGGGGACCAACAACAAACATCTGAATGCAAGACCCTCCCTCCATTTCCTCATCCATCTGAGAGCCCTTTGGGTTTTGGTCAGCTTTCTTCAGAGAGTCAGGACTGTCCAGTACCCCACTCCTCTTGCTCAGTCTTCTCCTCTTGGCGAGTCTCCCAGTTTGCGAAAGAGTGAGTGCCTTTTTAAAAGCAGTTTTTAACACCATGTCTCCTTCAGCCTTTTCCATTCTGTCCACCCCCCACGCTGTTGGCACAGATAGCCATTACAGCGGATAAGAATCATGAGTAGGGCCCAATAAATTCACAGTCCATTTCGGTCAATTTCACAGTCATAGGAATTTTTAAATTTAAATTTCATAATTTCAGCTATTTAAATCTGAAATTTCACAGTGTTGTAATCTGAGGGGTCCTGACCTAAAAAGGAGTTGTGGGGTGGGGGGGGTCACAAGGTTATTGTAGGGGGTGCTGTGGTACTACCCTTACTTCTATGCCGGGCAGCTGGAGCATGGCGGCTGCTGGCCAGGAGCCCAGTCTGAAGGCAGAGCGACCGCCAGCAGCAGCGCAGAAGTAAGGATGGCAGGATACAGTATCGCCACCCTTACTTCTGCGCGGCTGCCTGCAGAGCTGGGCCCTCAGTAAGCAGCTGCCACTCTCCGGCCACCCAGCTGTGAAGGCAGCGCAGAAGTAAGGGTGGCAATACCGCGACCCCCCTAAAATAACCTTGCGACCTGCCTGCAACTCCCAGTTTGCGAAACACTGGTTTCCCCAGTGAAATCTGTATAGTATAGGTAAAAGCACACAAAAGACCAGATTTCACGATCTGTGATGCGTTCTTCATGGCTGTGAATTTGGTCGGGCCCTAGTCATGAGTCTTTGACAGTAACCTCCATTGCTAGAGGAAAGCTATTCAATTTCTGGGTGGTTCTTGATGTCCCTGTTATTCACCCTCAAACACCTAGATATTGGTGCCTCCCCCCAGCACAAGAGGGATGATGCAACCTAGCATTAGCAGTATATAGTGCAGCATGCGATCAAGGGGACTCCAAATGGAGACTGACATTCACAAAAATCAGACTGGGTATACTAACATAACCCCGCAAACTATCATACTCTTATTACGTGTATGTGCAGCACCTCGCACAATGGGACCCTAACCTTGGTTGAGGCCTCTAGTCATCAGTGTAACGCAAATAATAAAATACTGCCACCTACTTAGACTCTGACACTACAGTTACATTATGATGTTTACAGTTTGTGCAACAGTGGTGCTGAGGCTTAGTTAATTTTCACAGAGCACTGTAAGATCCTGGCATGAAATTTACTGTGAAATGCAAAGTAGTATTTAAACTTTTATTTGTTAATTTTTTTCTGTACAAGGGTCTTCAGGCTCACGGAGTGGAATTTTTAACTGTGTTCAACTCCCACTTTAAATTGGTATTGGGCATCTGTATCCCTAACACCCTTTGGAAAAATCCCACCCACTGATATAAGGCCAGTGTGTAAAAAGGGGCAGTAGTAAGGAAGTACTAATAAAAATGTGACAGACACTTCTGGGTGGCTCAAGGAGAGGTCAAATGATAAACAAGTCCTAGCATGCCCCCAAACTGTCTATGCTAGTAGAATATAAACCACCACCCCAATAAAAGAAACATACAGTTGTTGTTTTTGATGAGCTATGGCAGACTGCATCTAACCAACAAAAATGTTATGTTGTATCAATCACAAAGTGACAACAGACATA